TATCCCATGTTCAGATTGGTTGATAGCAAAAGATTTGATTTTTCGATTATAATATAATACTGTATATTGTACAGTACAAGAGCATTCCATGAAAATGTTTAGATTTATACAGTCACTGAATGTCTAGATGTCTAAAAATTCTTTGTACTCATTAATAACTTTAATGATACCCACTGGTTTGTTCAGCATTTTAATTAACAATCAATTCTATCCACCAATTTTCTACCTACTTCGTAGAATTCTGGGTAGTGGGGGAGCTATAACTTATCCTGGAAAGCAACGGATGTAAGCAGTGCCAGATTTCCCATTAGACACTGTAGACATAGTGCCTAGGGCCTACGAAAGGAGGAAAACACTAATGACAAACAAAAAACAAGCTGAAACAACATGTTTGCAATCGACTCTAGGTGCTCCAAATCAATAATCATACGCTATCTAGCGGCTGTTCTAGAAACTAGAAGTATCGAAGTTATGGTCAGTCGACTCGCTCCATCAATCACATCCTACGAACACCAAAATCTGGCCCTGGATATAAGGCAGGAAACACTCTGGAGATGACACCAATCCATCGCAAGGCAGACACAGACACAGACATAAACACTCCAGGGCCAATTTTCCCAGAAGCCAGTTAACCTACCAGCATGTCTTTGGACTGTGGGAGGAAATTATAACACCCAGAAGAAATCCACACAAACGTGGGGAGAACATAACAACTCCACACAGATAGCACCCCATGATTTGAACCCAGGGCCCCAGGATTGCAAGGCAGCAATGCTAATCACTGCAGCACCGTGCTGCTCTCAACAATTAGTTGATACATTTGATTAAAATAGGTACATGTGAGTATTTATAAATGTGCATTCCAGCTTGGCACTCCAAGCCATGCTCTAGTCATCACTGGGACATTGCAGATATACAACATGTGTAGAAACACACTCAGCTGTCACATTATATTTGAACCTGCAAAGCAGCCTAGAATGTCAAATTCTACATTGTAGAAAACTAGAAAAAGAACAAAAAAACAATCAGGACTGTTCCCACTGTCTGAAGAATGATTATTGTCCACCCTGTAACTGTAAGACGCCAACTTCACATCACTAGTTGGAAGGGACACCCAGCAAGATGGGTCACACTCTGTCACTCAAAGTGTGGTGACAGAGTTGAAACTAGTTCAAGTCATTAGTTGAGAGCAGAAATTTTAAGCATCGCTGAGGTTTGCTGGACCTGACTGAGTCAGTGCAGCCCCATCTTGCTGCAAAAAGGCTGCTGTGGTGAGCTACCTGGAAGGACAGTCAGAGAAAGCCACATCATTCTTTCCAAATGGCAACGTCACTGCACATGATGAGCTGTAGTTTGGTTTTGGAGCATGAATATGAAGCAAAATAGCAATATTTGGAGGAAAATGTGCACAAGCCTCATTGTTTCCAACCGAATGATTAGCATCCATCAAGGTCTGACAACTGTATATTAACATAGGAGTACCATAAAAGTGATGTGTTAGTCATCCCTGAATATACTAGCATTTAACACATGATGGAGAGACTAAAGGCTGGTTAGGTACTTTGGACCTTTCACCCACAGTATATAACCAACTCTTCATTTATGTATCTCTAACAAGGTGAGTTTTACATATTAATAAGAACTCAGCTAGCTGTGTTTCAATAGTAAAATAGTAATACATGCCTTCCTGAGTTCTCCTATTCCAAAGCTTTACCAATGATTATAATGAAAATCAAGACAACTTCACTGTGATCAATATGATGGAATTTTTCAAGTGCAAGAGCACTTTCACCACATTTCTAAATAAACAGCCTGGGCATGACACACATGCACTAATGTAGTGCTGGATGAGAAGCACTTTACAAATGTAAAGCACTACATCCAACACTACATTTCTTACAGAAACCTTCATCAGCTAGTACAATTGACCAAACGATAAATATATTTAAATATATAAGGTTTATTTTTATATACTTTTATATACTTTATTTTTATATATATTATTTTTATATAAGATTTAAGATTTCTCCAAGCCCATAGTTTCTCATTTCACCTCAGATGACCATGATCACACTGATCTCTCTGTCTCTGTTCTCAAAGAAGGGTTTCTCAACTCCCATAGCAGAAGAACAACAGAAACGAAACTCATTCACACCATCCCCCTTCTCTCAGTGACCAACTTATTTTCGTGTAATCTTCTCTATTCTCATGCAGGTTTTGATTTCACACCTTTCTTCAACCCTCTCCACTTTGCACTTCTTGAGTGGCCTCCCTGCCTCCTCCCCTCTCCCAACTTTTGTTCTTCTGTGCTATTTAATCTTTGCTGTCTGCCTTGTCTTTCTCACACCTGAAGAAGGCTTCACAGCCACAACATTGTGTTTACTCTCTTCTCTTTTCAGCGTGGTACAGATGGTACAACTACAGATGTACAGTATCTTGCTGTATTTAAGAGGTAAGAAGGTGGAGGACATTAGCAGAACATGGAAAAGACACACTGCCCTCTGGAAAGTCCACACATTTCTAGATGACTGGCTTCATAATGGCCAATGGAACTCAATGACTGGACTTCTGAGTGGCTTCACAAGAAATAATAATAAATTCATTACATTTGTAAAGTGCTTCTCATCCAGCAGAATCCACAGGAAACACTGACCTTTGTTACAGCACAGCAGCCATTATGCACCAGCAGTCCCCACAGCAGGGTTATCATCCATAATCTGAAAGCGAATAACATGACTTTGAAGAAAATGGATTAGCTGATTCATTCCTCTCGGTCCTTCCATGTATAACATCTCTTAGATATAGTGTTTCAAATAAAAATGTTAGTATTATTTTTGTGAATGGCCAAATAAAATGTCTGACGGTTTTAACTAGACCTAAATTGTGAGGGTCAATGTGACATAAATATTTTTTTTAAAAGTACATCTTAAAGACTTGTTCCTGTCTCAGTACTGGATGTTATCTGGATGTTAAATGTCATATTTCAATGAAGAAAAACAAAACTTGTCTTCAGTTAACATTCTGACTGCTACTGCATACTGCTGGCACACTGTTCAATCCTCATATCTTGTGTGCCGCAATACTGCATTTTATTACTGTGTATACTGTATTCTTCCCAAGCATTCAGCATTTAGCTTTTTTGATGGATGTCTTCTGTGGGTTTAACCATATATACATAACATTGTTTTAGATTTTGTACAACATAAATCTTCCTTATTTTCTCCAAGTTATTTGCAAACCACAAAACCTAACCTTCTAAAAATGATAAACTAATAATAATCTTTATTTATAGAGCACCTTCCATGGTGCTTTATAAGTATATGATGAGGAACATATCAGAGCAAAACTCCTGGTTCCCCAGTTCTCAGAACCTGGAGTCAGGAGTCCAAAGAGCACAATGTGTAGGCGTATATGGGGTTAACAGTTCACTGATGTAGCCTGAGCCAAACTGTTCCAACCCTTAAAGTATGCAGACCAAATTGTTCGGAGGGTAATTACATCAAAAGTGATTTTTGGAGAGTATTAAAACCCACAATTCAAACATGTTATTAGAGACATCTAGTTCACAGCCAACCTATTCCGAAAACAAACGTTTCTAAGAAGTTCAGAATCTGATTTCTAAAAGAGCATTAAAGCAGAGTTACTACTGTTATTAGGTAATATTGTCAAATATCATAGTACTTTACATGTAGGCAATGAACCCTATAATGTATGTAACGCTATACTGTATGTAATAACCTCTGACATGTAGCAGCCACCTATGTGATGTGCAGCAACCATATTACATATGATCACCAACAGCCCCACTACATACCAGATCTGGTAGAGAAGTGAGAAACTGTTTTAACTATTGAATTAAGGAAGAACTTCTTAGGGAGGACAGATTGTACAAGACTGGAACTTAGTCAAGACAACAGAGTTAAAGCTCCAACTCTTTTCAAAACTGTCAAACCGGTGATGATGATCTTAGCCCTAATGTAGTTTTTTGCTGAAATCAAGCCCATGAGGTGCAGAGTGGAGGCACTGTGGCTAAGGATCTGCGCCTGTGGCTAGAAGGTTGCCAGTTCAAATTCCATGGCAAAGGAATCCTAAGCCGTTGGGCACCTGAGCAAGGCCATTAACCCCAACTGCTGCAGGGGCGCCATATAAATGGCTGTGCACTGATCCCAAGATTCTCTGTCCCTGTCTGTGTGTCTCACAGAGAGCAAGCTGGGATATGTGAAAAGACAAATTCTTAATGCAAGAAATTGTGTATGGTTAATAAAGTGATCTTATCTTATGTCAAAGTCTTGAAATATTAACTCATATATACAGAGGAACAAGTAATAGGTTTATTCCATGCTGAAAAAAAGAAGAAAGAGAACACAATGTTTCGGCCGTGGAGCCTTCTTCAGGTGACACTATTACTTGTTCCTTTGCAGCCTACGCATGCTGACGCAGCTACCCACCTCATATATACAGATATGGGTGGAGCAGTGGCTCTGTGGCTAAGGATCTGCGCCTGTGACTGGAAGGTTGCTGGTTCAAATCCCACAGCCGGCAGCGGAATCCTACTCCATTGGGCCCCTGAGCAAGGCCCTTAACCCTAACTGCTCCAGGGGTGCCGTACGATGGCAGACCCTGCGCACTGACCCCAAGCTTCTTTCCCTGTCTGTGTCTCAATGGTGAAAAGCTGGGTTATGTGAAAAGATGAATTCCTAATGCAAGAAATTGTATAGGGCTAATAAAGAAACATTATTATCAGATGGTCTTAAATACAGAAATAGAAAAAATAAATGTTTTTCTGCACTGATATAAATCAGATGTTTCCATCTGCAACTGATACACTAAGCAGATGTGCCAGGGACCTGAAATTTCTTGCTCACATTGATGAAACTGAAAACTGACTGATTGTATTTCAAATGAGTAAAAAAAATCATACAGATTAGCATCTGAAGAAGGTATTCTTCTGTGAAGGGTATTCAAAATGTCTAGCTTATGAACACAAGTCTGTGAAACAATCAAAATAAAAAATTTTCATATTTATTGAAATTTACTTGTTTTCATATAGAATAATCAACAATCCGTTTTAAATCCTATATGTGTTTTTTGCATTACAAGTTTCTGTCTAGTTAAAAACAGTGTGATCATCAAAGTTTGCTGACTTTTCAGCTACTGAGACATTTCTCTTTAGGAACAAGTAAAAGCAAATTATCTACAAAGTGCATTTTTAAAACAAAATACAATATGATGAACAGTCCTGGTTAGAGAAACCATTGTAGCAGCACCATGATACCTGATTTTCATGATATAAGCACAGTGAATTATTATGAAACAGACCGATACAAAAGATATGTGATATAGTCAGCTAAGCATAATACACATGTAGGCTTTTTTGAGTTTTTGAAAAATAAAAATCATAGTACAATTCAAATTTTGGAAATCAAAATTAGTAGTTAGCTTCTGAGTGGCAAGTAAGTGGCCTTGTTGGAGAACAAGATGAGTCCTAAACTTTGGAACTACCTGAGTAGCATCACGCCTTAGTGATGATGCAAAACAGTGTGTCACTGAGTGTTGTCATGGCTGCTGGAGTAAGGTCATCAGGAGAATCTTCACTTTGCTGTGAAATATTAATTCCTTTTCCAGCTTGATATCTCTTAGATTCAGAGCTGTCTGTTGCATCTGTGTTTGACCTCTAGCTGGTACAAAATGTCTGCTTTACTCACCCTGGGACCAGACAGCAAAAAAAAAGGGACTTTCTTAACAATGGTTCTCAGAGCGAGTATGTGATAGTTTGGATTCCTCCTGTATGAACAAAAATGAATTTGATGAGTCAAGCTGAACAGCAACTGGGGACACCAAATTTGGGGCATAGATTAAGAAGCAACTAAAAAGAAAGTTGAATCAACGGACAACACAAAACTTTCCCTTTTCAGTCCCATAATGAGGCTACCTTCGCCTGCTTTAGCCAGCTCTTCTATACTTCTTTCAATCCCGGGGAAATAAGTACATATATGTGAAAACCTTCTTTAAAAACACCTCAAATATAACTGGACTATTCCTGTCAGCAGTTCAAAATCACGAGAAGTATGCATAAATTACAACATTAATTTGCAACAATTTAATAAAACTTAATATTAAGAAAAAAGTAAATCAGTACAATCAATACAGTTAATCCTTTTGACCTGGATAAAAGAGGTCACAGTCAACGTGCTTTGACAAACAGCTGATGAGAAGGCACTGTACTACTGTCCTTACTCTCACAGACAGTTTCAACAGTGCCAGACTCGGAAACAAAGACAGTTTTGTTCTTGAGTTTCTCATACTCCTTTTGCCTCTCAGCTACGGCAGCACAGGCAGCCACCACCTCATCGCTCTCAAAATCGTAGTCTGGGATCAGTTCTGGAGCAGCAAGCAACTGCTTGGCAGTCTCCTCTTCCAGCCTGGCCTGCTCCTCGATGGCTCTGCGCTGCTTCTGGAGCTTCATGGCCCAGGACAGGTCCTCTTCCCAGAGGGAGCGGTCCGTAGGAAAGAGGTGAATCGCGACCTGGAAGCTCTTCACTGCCTGTGAGGTGGGAGACACCCCTCACCTGTCATTTCAGTTGTTAAGTTCTTCTCAAAATCAGTAAGAACAACATACTTAAACCTACACATTACAGTGTAATTAAAAGTTAATGCAGCAAACATCGGGATTTGTGCATTCTTAACTTGTCGCTCAATATTAAAAAGCTATCAAATCTTTATGTACCTGAGTCATGAGAGCTAAAATGATCTCATTCTTAGGAAATCCCATACCAAATATTTCTGGAGTTAAATAATGAATTGCTTTTAATAATAGGTTCACTGCTTTTCCAAGCATAGCATTTGAGAGCATTTGAGTTACTATTACAGTGGCGTCTAAACTAATTACCTGCAGAAAAGGATCAATTTATACATCCAGTACTAAAAGAGAGCTCAGTATGGAAGTTGAAAGCAGTCATGACAGACTGGAAATAGGTATGCAGGGTGGTTTTCTAATAACAAAAAACACTTATGTTAAAGGAAAAAACACAAAAAGATCACTTTTGATAACATCTATGAGAAAGACTGCATGCATGCATTGTTTCCAAGGCCAATTTCCAATATATCAACAGAACTGATCGCTCAATCAGATTTGGATGAGCACATACAGTACAGTAGTACATTTAAGACAGCAAATTCATGGTTCTGTGAGAAAAACATTCAGTTTTTTAGTATTTCAAACAAAATATTAAAGTTATTTTTTAATCCATTGCTGTACAGTCAATGAGGGCACGTTATCAAATAAACGGTTGGAAAAATGCTGAAGTAAAATAACCCAAACACAGTGTACATGTGTGTTTGTGCATCTATGCATCTACAACCATGGCTAAAACTCATTGTCTCAAAGGCAGATGAAAGTATCACAAAGTCATATGCATATGACGGCCCAGTTACGTGTTTGGATGACAGCATTTTTAATATCACAGTACAAGTACAGGACAAACATAATAGTATTAGAAGAACTTAAGTGGTGCCTAAAGGTCTTCCTGAAGTGAGCTTCTGCACTTTTTGAAGCATTCCCTGAAAGATAAAAATTGATTTTCTAGCATGGTTTAGTTCCTTATATGTTCTGTTTCTCGACAGAAATTCAGATGTTTTACAGAAAAAAATTTATCTTAATGAAATGTATTGTTTGGGAGGCATAAAGGTTTGGGTAGCAAGAGATACTTAAAATGTAAGTCTGTCTTTTTTTTTTAAACGGCAGAGCAAAATGGCTTTGTGTAAAGAAAAATATTTAAAACTGTAAAGTGTCCAAGTTACAGCTTTGCTGATCTAGGAAGCATAAAACCAAAAAAAGAAAAACAGTACTGAAAAACAACTGCAAGATCTTATCTGGCTTCCAAGATACCCGCATGGCTATTGGATGAACATTTGTGGTAACTGGAGAGGAGTATAAAATTAAAATTCAGTACATATTTGTGGTGTACACTTAACGAAACAGGCTGTCTTCTTTTATAAAGTTTTAAGTAGGGTAAAATGGCATTTTAAACCTGTAATTCACAGAGCAGATAAATACTTTTCAGAAATAAGTTCAGCCATGTCTAACTTACCTTTCCATAGAGAATAACTAAAGCTCCATCAAGGATTATCACACACTGTTCAATTTAAGTGAGGATAATTGTGTAATATATATATATATGTCTGAAAAACAAATGGGCACTACCCATTTTCAATAAAAAATTTACATTTTTAAAACTTGAGTGATTTTACACCTTTTAGATTTTGAAATGTATGTTCATTATGTCTATGGAAAACAGCACGCAATGATTGCCAAAAAGTTACTGGGAAAATACTTTTAAACCACATCGAGATGTGTTAGATATGAACAAGATGCAACAGGAGCAGACTTTATACAAACTGCCCCCAGCCATAAGTGTCAGCCAAAAGCTGAATAAGCACAAATAACATTTTTAAATCATATTCAAGGCAGATCCTGATATTAGCAACCAAAGATGAACAAAGAACCAAATAAAATTCCTTTGCAAATTGCTTAAGGCATTATTTATTAATCATCTTCCAGTATTGTAAGGTAAATTTCAAGACTTTTTTTTTAAAAGGAAAAACAAATTAATGTTTAAACAGAAAGTGATTTCTAAGCTGTGTAGAAATGTAAGACTTATGTGACACACTATATGTGCATTTTAGTGTGAGAGTGGTTTGTTCAGAATTTTAGAAGTGAAACAACCCGGTTACACTGCAGTTATTTTACTTAAAAAAACAACACAGAACATTATCTTTTGCTGAAGCAGCATCACACTGCAATTGTCATTATCACAGTGTTCAGCAATAGACTGAAATCATTCAGAAATTAATCATACACTACAAAAAGCTCAAAAGCTTTTTTCGGTTTTGCCTGTCCGCAAACTAAAAAAAAAATGTCACAGCAATTGTAGACAGACTCAGATCTCGAGGACTGCAGCGTATGCCTGCTTGTTATTTCCTATCAAAGCTATGGTGTTTCTTATAAATCTCAGAAGCAGTTTTGCCACAACAGCCTCATAGGCCAAAATGTGACTAGACCTGGTCTTCATTTATTGCAGACAGTTGTTTTGGTTACATTTTCTAACACCTTGTTCGCAACAGAAATTGTCAACCAGGAAAGGCAAGGAGTTAAATACACACACCCGTTTTCACCTTGGATTTTAACAGCACAAGCTGTAATAAAAACCTACAAAAAATGAAAATATTAACAGCTGTGCAGAAAAGGTTTGGTCCTGAATGGGCTCATATTACCTTTCATTTCAGCTAACAGCAGTTGCCAAAGAAGAAGACTACAAAATGATTTTCATTATGCATCAAATAAAAATGATAAAAATGTATGTAAAGGTTGTGCTAAATCGTGAAAATGAATTTATAAAATTCATAAAACTTTATAAAATGATGGCATAAACTGCTGACACACCTTGAAATCAAATTGTACCAGTTTCACCCAGACTGGGTCTACACTACACTGGTGAACCTAAATATGACAGATCTTTGTATAAAGTTCTCAGAACGTCTTTGAGTAGTTACACAGAAACAATTAAAGCATCCCTATCATTAGGGAAGAGGAATATTTATTTTTATATATTTATTTGTGGCACTTTTAAAACTTGGATTAGTGTTACACAGACTCTTCAAAGGACATGTTGTTTTACAAAACAAAATAGGAAAATAAAAAATCAGCATTTTAGCAGGAAGCAGAACTGAAGTAAAGGTCCAAAGAGTCAGAATCACTTTCATGTACATTTTTATTTCAGTACTGGAGACCCAGTGGAAGCCATTGTGTGCTAAAGGTGAGAAAAGATTATATATGAATAACAGGTGGAGAGCCAGACTGGATATGAACATATAGTTCTTGACTGTATTTGTAAAACCTGCTATGAAATCTAAATCCTCCTTGAAAAATACAATCACTACTGAAGGAGCAGCAGGAACAAACAGAGCACTCCATCACAGATGAGTTGAAGGAACTAGCTAATCTCACATTAATAGAGGTTCACACCGGTAATCACCAATGTTCTAACATAGGGAACATTGAGAGAGAAAGGAGCTTGTCTCAGGCTGTCAACAGAGACAGAGTGTTTTTACAGCACCACCTAACATCACATCGCCAAAGCAGTTACTTCCATGCAAAAAATCTGGAAGCTCAGCAGAGCAAATGCTTCCGTTGAATGCTGCAGCATAATCCCTTCGGAACTGCTACACAAGACGTTATAATCACATGCATATTGCTTATAAGGACATGTGCAAATGACACAACGTGCATAAGAGGTCATGACATTTTCTTTAGCATCATTTATAGCATTTGTGTAGCAGTTATGAACGGATTATGAAGCCATTATGTATCAACGTTACTGGAGGACCACGGGGATCTGTATTAGGAACACTGCTCTTTCTTATTCAAAGGAATGATCCCAAGTTTGTGATGGCTAGTAAACTAGTCAAATTTGCAGATGATGCCAAAATAGGAGGATTAGTAAACACTGTAATGGAAACGGAAAAATATATTTTGACAGGATTCACAACTGGGCAAACACATGACAGACGGCATTTAATGGAAACATTTTGCTTCCATAAGCTATCTTTGAAAAAGACTTAGTTGTTTATGTAGATTTTCTAGACAGTGTGGGGAATCAACAGAATATCGTCTAATCTGACAGCCTGGCTTCATTCAAGAAGCAGCTGGTTGAGATCCTCAGATCAATTAACCAGACGGGCCAAATTACTTTTTCTCATTTGGCGAGAGTAAATTCTAAGTAATTCACAGATTGGTAAAACTCACTGACAGTTATGGCAATAAACATTTATACAAGCAATATCTCTTTCAAAACACTAAACCGTTTGGGCAAATACTTTAGTCTAATAAAAATCAGAAAATCTAGAGTCATGCCAAGACAGTTACGTCAATATGCACTGCTGCATACTTTATTACTGAAAATTACAATTTTGAAGAATGGCGTATGGCTATGATGAAATAACCATGTAATATAATTATGACTCCAAAAAAAAAAAGCTAGGAGCAGTTGTGCTCTTAAAAAGAGATGTATACTGTAGCTCATGCAGGAAGAAATATGTGTTTCAAAAAGACATAAGGGTAAATGTAGGCAACTGTACTGAGGATGACACTCAGCCACTGCAAAATGGTTTATTTAAAATGACACTCAAAACTATTTGAAAACTCCTGCACAACAAAATACTGAATTATCAGGAATAAACTGTGCAATAACCTACAGGTCCAATTACTCACAACAATATTTCTCTTGACAGTAGGTCTGTTTTGACACATCGAGATTTATGCAAATAATATGATACACATGTCATATTTTAATATTTTTATGATGCATTACTCATCATAAAGCATAAAACCTTGAATTGAGTGTCTTCTCATTAATGGGCACAAATTTGGCCTTTTTTAATAATTATGGTCAAAACACAGTTCCAGAAAATATACGTTAACCATATTTTCCATTGCTTGCAATTTTTTTCTTGTACAAATAAATAACCAAACACTGTCCTGACATGGTCTGGCATCCCTTGCAGGGAGTAGTTCTGCCTTGTGCCAATGAGGTTAATCTGGCTCACTGGATTCTATAAGTATAACACTGTTACTGAAAATACATGCATAATAAAAAAACAAATATGGCATGAAGAAGATGATAAGAAGTAAAAGCATGTCAAGTTGAATGTCATTAAGGAGATGCATTCAATCAGATTAAGAAAGTACATCAGTTGGAATTCATTAGAAGATGATTCAAGAGTTGTTACTGAGAAAAGGAAAAAGCATTAAGGTAAGAGTCAGCCATTTACTTACACTTACATTTAATTACACAACCCCATGGAGAATCTAGGTATTCTTTTTTTAATGGTGGCTCATGGAATATTTTAACTAGAGTTGCAATGGGAACCTTCAGCTGTGGACTGTGAAGTTCTCAGGCAATCTCAAGAGAAGCAAGTGCTGACTGAGATCTGACCTGTGTGCTTATTTTACAAGCCAGTGTGAGCTTCTGTGCTGGAAAAGGCCAACCTGTTACCACTGTTGAAATACATATCCATTTCCATGGTTCACATGTACTCATTTCCACAGAAGACAATGCTACTAATTACTTTTAGAACAAGATTCCAGGAATTTTCAGTAAGTAGTTAGGTATCAGTTAACTAGGTCAGATATCACATTATATAATATGCTGGCAAAACACAATTTTACAAAAATCTCTCGACTTTATTACAGATGTGGACTGAAGCTCTGTTATTAAAATCTAAGGTTACAAAAGTGTTTGACTAATACATATTTTTAAAACTCTTTTTCATTTTGCTTATCTCAATGTGCTTAACAGGAACTGAAGACTGTTGGCTCTAAAAGAAGAGTAGAAGTATCAGTGTAAAAGCCGTGATTCAGAACACTACCGCACATGGGTTATTTTGGTGAATATTCGAAGAATTGCTTAATGCACTGAATTACATGACTGCACTCTAAAAGACTAAAAGATAAGCAACGTGCTTTAAGTTATCTCTTGATCTTGTTTTCAAGCTGTGCGTTTCAATGAACTGCAACTTCCAAGGAAGACAATACTGAAAACAAAGAAAAAAGGTCCTGCATAACAAAATGCACGATTGTCAGTACTTGATTATGATAAAATATTACAAAGTATCTCTCAAAAAGTCAGCAAAACAATGCTGCCACTCTAGAATGTAGAACATACTCTTAGTTAAGCTCTCTATAATACCTGCTTATCTGGACTAATCATTTATTTTATTCATTCTGATTTTGTAACAATCTCCATTAGATATATGAATGGTTTATAGCAAATGAACTTCAGGTGCAGATGTACTGTAGTGCTAGATGTACCTTTGACTTTTTTCAGAGTGCAGCAGATTTAGAACTGTGAAATGTCTATTGCCCTAATTTTCTCTGAGGTTTTTTTTGAAAGTCAAATAAATCCATGTGTCTTAGATGTGCAGTCCAAGGCAGCTGGGATTTCAATGCTATTTGAAATGGGTCAATTTGGAAAACCTTACAGTATTCTAATATAAATTAATTGGCAGTTTTTTTCCCCATAATGTGTTATTTCAGGGATCTCCTAATTTTGTTATCTCATATTGGTAATGGAGTTTGTTGCATTCAGCACAGTTTTTAGCTCGTGGTCCCTATATATGGAGAAAACAGCTTAAACTGTGTTAATTTTTGTCATCATCTTTGGATTTATTCACTTTCTAGTCTCCTTGGCTAGTTCATTTCGAGATGTTAGCTAACTTTTTAAACTCTTTTTAAATTATTATTTAAGGGTCGGAGACTTTAAAGCACTGGTTTGTGAGGGAGATATTCACTGTAATGCGAAGTTTGGAACAAAGCTAAAAACATATGGTAATTATATGGAGAAAACTATGCAAAGATATTATGTATTTCAGTGACCAGGCTATAATTAATCACACATCTCCTGGCTTCCAGTGCCTCATTAGTCTTGTATGTATACAGTATGTGCTTGTACATTTTTTCAAACCTGCCATATTTCATAGATAACAAAAACTTAGATGTGAATTTGAATTACTAGGCATTCTGCTGTTTTTTAACTGTGCTTCTAATGAAACAGACAGCTCAAATAAGACAAATTATTTCTGGTATAATTCTAGGTGGTTTGGGAACTGATATTTCCCAGGGTCACAGACTCCTGACAGTTTTTTTTTAATCGATGTGTTCTTGTCTCGCTTTTTAACCCATCACCTCTCTGCTGAGCTTGTTATACTAATACCACATAACTCAAAGACATGGTTCAGTGGGGCCAGCAGGGGTCGCTCACCCTGCAGTCCAGGTGGGTCCTAATGCCCCAGTAAAGTGACGGGGACACTGTACTGTATACAGTCGCCGTCCTTCGGATGAGACGTAAAACCGAGGTCCTGAATCTCTGTGGTCATTAAAAATCCCAGGGCGTTTCTCGAAGAGTAGGGGTGTAACCCCGGCAAATTTTCCATTGGCCCTTACCAATCATGGCCTCCTAATAATCCCCATCTATGAATTTGCTTCATTACTCTTCTCTCCTCCCCACTGATAGCTGATGTGTGGTAAGCGTTCTGGTGCACTATGGCTGCCGTCGCATCATCCAGGTGGATGCTGCACATTGGTGGAGGGGAGTCCCCATTACCTGTAAAGTGCTTTGAGTGGAGTGTTCAGAAAAGCTTTATATAAGTGTAAGCAATAATAATAATAATTATTATTATTATTATTATTATTATTATTATTATTATTATTATTATTAAAAATCTGACACTGTGAGTCTGAGAAATCGGGACTTCACTGCTGAAATAAATCTGGGCATGCACTCAGAAATTCGCCTCGCAAATACCTACTTTTTGATATGTTCAATGTTAATCAATGCTAATCTGATGGTGTAGCTTTAAGATTCCAACATGAGCTCACCAGATCCACTTCTCCCAGACTGAGCTGTGCCCGTCCCAGAGTCTGCCAGGACTCCCACCAGCGGGGGCTGAGGCGTACGGCCATCTCTGCTGCCTGTACCGCAGGGAATACTTCCTTTAAGAAGGTCAGCACCTGGAGGAGAGAGTGTGCACAAAAGAAGATCTGAACCACAGCACACACTTCCCACTATGAGGAAAGAGGCTTTAAAACAGAAACATTAGTCTGGCAGTACTGCTTTGGTCTCCACTATCTGCAGATTGACAACTGAGCTTATTTTCAAAATCATAACCATTAACGGTAAATTGAGGTTGGGTACAGTCTCAATCAGGGAAAATGAATATGTATTCATTTATATGATTTATATGTAAAAATCTTTGAAATCAGATATAGGTACAGATTTATTGCTTTTTCCAGATATTTCTAGGCTGGCTGTTGTGTAATATAAGTTTAATTGTTTTTGTTTTTTAGTTTCTCAAGCAAAACATTGTGAATTTAGAGGAATGTAAACTCTTCCACATGAAGTATGAGGGAAAAAAAAGCAATTAACACATGTTTTTTTTTCCTCAGTAATGACACCTGCAGGCATCACATTATCAGTGTTAAGGAGGAAAAATAAAGTTAAAAAATAATTATCATTGCTAGTCTATATACCGCCCTACATTTTATTCTTTTTTCACAAGCAGTGGTTTAACGTATTCTTTATATTGTAGTGTAAACATGGAATCGTGGCCATGAAATACAATCCTAAATATTGTATTTTCAATGAAGATCTGAAAGCAATACCTGAAATCAAAATACTGTGCAGTTATTGTATACCCTATTAAAAAGAATGATCAAATATAATGAAAATTTTAAAAAGTTTCTCAAATGAAATCCTGATTTATACAATACAGTGAAAAGGTATTTGCCCACTGTCTGATTTTCTGCGTATTTGCACATTTTTCCTGGTGAATGTAGTCATATGTTTTTGTGGGTTATAGTGAAATAAAAAACAGTCCAGGAGAAAATGACACCACAGTTTCACGCTTCTTTCATCTGTTTGGTGTGCAAGGTAATCAAACATGCAATCTTCAATAGTGAAAACGTTACTGCCCCCAAGTGAACTCCACCCAATTAAAGAAATAGTTAGGGTCAGCTGTTTGAATACTTTGGTTAACAATCAGGCCTGTTTTATGCCAGCCCCGCCCACTATAAATCTGATTAACTTTGACCCTTAGCATCAGAATGAAGGTCAGCACACAGGTTCTAAGCGCACATCATGCCACGATCAAATGAAATGCCCGAAAGCCTCCAGAAAAAAAGCTGTTAATGTCTACCAGTCTAGAAAGGGTTACAGATCCACTTCTAAGGCACAGCCAGAGCCAAATGGTTCAAATGTAGAAAGTTTGGGACAGTAGTGAATCTTCCCCGGAGTGTCCATCCTGCCCAATTCTCTCCAAAAGCAATTGTCCAGGAAGTCAAAAAGAACCTTACAGCATCCCATCCAAAGATCATAAGTGCTCACCTCAGGTTTGCCAAAAGGCATCTGAATGATCCTCGAGAGTTCTGGAACAATGTTCCATGTACAAATGAGTCAAACGTTTTGGCTGACATGGGCCCTCTCATGACTGGCAGAAGCCAAACACTGCATTCCACAACAAGAACCTCATACCAATAGTCAAGCATGGTGGTGGTAGCATCATGGTTTAAGGATGCTTTGGTGCATCCTTACTACTCGCCATCATTGAAGGAACCATGAATTCTGCCCTGGATCAGAGAATTCTACATCAGAATGGTTGAAGAACAGGAAACTTAGTTTTGGAATGGCCTAGTCAAAGTTCAGGCATAAACCCTATTGAGATGTTGTGGCTGCACATGAAAAGAGCAGTTCATGTTCCACAACCCACAAATGTCATGAGCTGAAGCAGTTCTGCATGGAGGAGTGGGCCACAAATCCTCCACAGCTCTGTGAGAGACTGATCTATAACTACAGGAAATGTCTGACTGTAGTTATTGCTGCTAAAGGTGGCGTAACCAGTTACTGAGTCCAGTAATTACTTTTTCACACAGAGTACTGGGTGCTGTATAACGTCCTTTAATAATTAAAGCCAATAACTATCAAAATTTTGTGTTTTTTGTTCACTTAGGGTCTAATAGTTTTAAGTTGAAGATCTGATAACATTCACTGTAACAAATATGCAATAATGCAGAAAATCAGAAAAATACTTTCTCACAGCTCTGTTTAGTGGTTCATTTTTACCATGGATTCTAAGTAAATAATTCTGATATCAACCTTTTGTGCAGAAGGGCACTAAAACCTTGCATAACACCGAGCACAATGCATGTATGTTTACAGTAGTTCATACCGACAGCCATTTCAATGTTAACAATTAGCCACAACTGCTTTTAAAATCCAGTCACTTAAAGAGATCTTAACTTCCTTTTGTTGTTTGGAATCTGAAGAGAATTAAAACAACGGACCAAAGTGTTCTGTACAGTCTGTTCTGACATTTCCCAAAATGTAGGTAATGAACGGGAAACAGCACTAGAAAGATACAGTTTCAGAATGCAACCAAGAACTGCCATATGCTAAAGTCCATCAATTCAGCTGGCATTTACAACTGTTACTGATTCATCCGTCTCGTTTAATTTCAACAAAAGCAAGGTCTGGCATACCTCCTGCTAATAGACTGCGTATTTGGCTATAACCCTCTTCCTGTCCTTATATGGTTTGTCCATATTCTTGACTCTCCATAAAATGTGATCCTGCCCTGCAATACACCATTCCAGACAGGGTTTTACCTCACTAATGTTCTCTTGTCCATAGTGATAAAGTGTTCTTTTAGTAAACGTGTGTGGTAAAAGAAGGACTATGACAACTACATACTGTTCTCAAATTCTACAGATCTGACACCAACTGGTGCCATTAAAAAACAATATAATTAATTTTATACTACAGATTAAATAACTGCAATAAGTAAACAACTTTTATTACACTGCTACTAGTATACAAGATCAATTTATTGCTATATAAATGACACTTATATTATGATTTATGCTAAAGTCTGGTATTTTTATTTTCTCAAAGCGACATACCAATAACTCTCTAAATCAAATGCTCAAATCTCTATCTGGTTTCACTCTAGACAGCAAATAACAGAGAAATTACTAAACTAGACTGCTGTTGCAGTCAGACTGCTTAAGTAGCATCAGTGCTGAACACTGAGCTTAGGGTCTGCATTTCCTGTTGTTAGGATATAAGAAATGTATAACTGACTTACTGTATCTCTAAAGGAAGAGGTAAAACAATTCTCATTCTGAAACTCACTTATTTGTTTGAATCTGTCAGATAAATGGCTGAGCACAAAATTTGTTTGTAGTATTATAATTGTTACAAGATACTTCAAATTGCGGCAAATCTTAGTGTGATTATGAATGCACTATTTTACTTCAGCTGGGTTGTATGCTTGTTGGTATTTTTCAAAATGATGCACATGCTCTTAACTTCACTTGTCTGAACACGTCATAACAATGTTGTTCTAAGCATGTTTGTTTAAAATAAAACAGCACACTCCTCAAGTTTTGTTATGTCCTCAGGAATGAAATGAAGAACTCGGCATGAGACTATGGTTTTGGACTGCAAGCTAAACACTTATTGTGAAATTTACAATATGTACAGTATTTAAAGTTACGCAGAAGAACATTTTAATGTATTCTAAAAATAAATTGAAGCAAGCATCACTATGAAAGAGTTTTGATTTACAATAAAGGCAATAAGGAACAGGAAACCAGACAGTCCTACTCTAAACCTTTATTTAATTAAACTGACCTACATATATATAGCAGTTCAATTGGTAGCTGCGTCAGCACACGCAGTCTGCAAAGGAAAAGTAAAGGTTTATTCCATGCTGAAAAGAGAAGAAAGGAAACACAACGTTTCGGCTGTGGAGACTTCTTCACACCTGAAGAAGCATGAACAGTAGATACATCTAATCAATTTTACTTTGTCATTATTTATTAAACAAAGAAAAACTAACATTCAGTAGTCTTGTGTGAAAAAGTAGGTCCACCCCATGATTCAGTAACATGTGGAACTCCGTTTAGCAGCAATACCTTGAAGTAAACATTTCCTGTAATAGTTTATCTGTCTCTCACATTGCCTAGGAGGAATTCAGGCCCACTTGTCCTTACAAAACTGCTTCAGATTGGTGATGTTTAAGGACATTTGTTTATGCACAGTTCTCTTTAGGTCCCCACACAGCATCTCAATGGGGTTAAGGTCTGGACTTTGATTTGGCCATTCCAAAATCCTGATCCTTTTCTTTTTCAGCCATTCAGTTATAAATTTACTGGTGTGTTTTGGACTATTGTCCTGTAGCATGATCCACTTTCGAAGGTAAGCTTTAGCTGTTAGACAGATAGTCTCACATTTTCCTCTAGAATGCCCTGGTATAGAGAAGAATTCACAGTAGGCGCAATGATTGTAAAGTGTCCAGGTCCTGTGGCTACAGGGTAGGCCCAAATCATCACCCCTCCACCACCATGCTTGACGGTTCTTATGTGGTGATATGCAGTGTTTGGTTTTGCCAAACATGTCATTTTGCATTATGGCCAAACAACTCCACTTTGGTCTCATTTGTTCAGTGGACATTATTCCAGAAATCCTCTGGTTTATTCAGGTGGTTTTGCAAACCTCAGCCATGCAAAAACAGGAATAAGCTCCTGTGGTCCAAAACTGTACTGCTAGAAGGAGTATGATGGGCATATGCTGCACATTGGTGGTGGTGGAGGGGAGTCCCCATTACCTGTTAAGTGCTTTGAGTGGAGTGTCCAGAAAAGGGCTATATAAGTGTAAGCAATTATTATTATTATTATTATTATTATTATTATTATTATGTCCCAGGACAACGGTTGGACTACCACCCAAAGCTGAGAAGGACAGATTGTTTCAATAGTGCACCAAATGGACTTACATGCTGAAGGAGTAGGGTGAACAAAAGAAAATAAGACTGGAAACAAAGACGACTGTCAGCAAGACAGTAAGATAGGAGCTCTGGAGAAGCATCTAAAAGAAGTGAGCCAATCAGTTTTAGAGATGTATGACTGTAAGTCTTGGTCTACTTGTTAAAAAATATACCTGTGATTTCATCTCATAAAGACAAGCATCTTCTGGAGTTAACTGGATTGCTTCCTCCCACCTTCTGATTGCTTCCCAGTGCCTGCATTGGGATAAAAAAAAGATATTCACAATACAGTACACAGGCCACTTTCCCTCCAGAGCATTGAAAAGTGACCCTTATTTGAAATGATTTGAAGCTTTTGCTATAGTGATGAATTTTACAACACATAGACACATGTCATCAGAAAGTACCTTAGGAACTTAAGGAAACTTGATATTTAGTATAAGACGCAGTACATGCAATGAAACACTAAGAGAAAATTGAATTGTTTTTAATCAATTAACACATTAATCACCTAGACATGGTAGTAGTGTAAAAAATGAAGAATGATGGGAAACAGCTGCAAATAGAGGGGAAGCTCATAAAAAAGGGCATTATTCTTTTAAAAGAGGAAGATAAACTTTCAACTTCCAATTTTAATCACACATGCCAATGTAAACTAATATACTGATTATGAGGGAACAGCTACCTGCATTCCAGCCTCTTCCCTGTATTCATGGATGTAAGTGGCATTGTGGTAATGGAATTCACCCAATAAAAAATGTGTGTTTTTAATTACATTCTTAAATCCTAAATAAGTAGGTGTTAATGTAGAAAAACCCTACATACAGTACCTCTACATTATTTCAAACAATACTCTTAAGTATTTTGTTATTAATGTGTGCTTGTCAATGTATGCTCCAAGGTATAGGGAATTTTGATAATTTTCTAAAAATTGTTCTGACAAACTTTCAATTTGAAGGTACTGATGGTATTTATTGTACTTGTTTAGTTGTATTACACACACAAATCTGATTGAATCCTTAAGAAACAATCAGCCACCACCGTCTTCATGTGTGTCTAAATTTGTACTCATGAGCTAATTTTGTTTCACAGTTCTGTGGAAAACAAAAGAAAATCTCACCATCGCCCCTTGAATTATGAAGTTTGCTAAGCCACCCACTTTCAGCATGGATTTAAACAATGTTTGATTTACACACAACTCATTTGCCTTTATAGAAAGAAAAAATGGCCATTGTGAGTTTTGAAATGGGTTTTATTTTACAGTGATCTTAAAGAAAGTTCTTGACAAAATCATAAACAAGCACTTATCATAGAAGGATACTTATAAGGTATTGAATATGGAGAGCTACTGTACATCTTGATAGCAAAGTGCTTCACAAGATTCACCATGAAAAAAATATTTTCCAGGAAATCTCCTGGTGTAGACAGCCAACATACAAGCTGCAAGTTTGACTGAAAGGATCTGGCCAATTCACAATAAAAATCCTTTGCTGCCACTGTTTTTTTTAAGTTTCCAATACACAACCAGTCTGATGGTATGTGAAAGCAAATGTTGTATTATTGCAAGCACTTTGGAAAATTATTTATTTATCCCCTTATTTCAAGAGGAGACAAATAATTAAAAAAAAACACAAAAATGTTTTTTTTACAATGCCAGAAAACACCCAATGCTAAAAAAGGTTTTCCATTATTTTTTTATTTTTACAGATTTTTAGATTAAACTAAATTACAGCATTATGAGCTGGTTTCACAGACAGCGATAATATTTTAGTAAAAACATACAAAAACAAAAACAGAAATGGACAAACTTAGAAAAGGAACTAAGTTTGAAACCAACAAGATGCAACAAAAATTTAAAACCACCTGTGAAATTAAAGGTTTAACATGCTAAATAAGTAAAACTGTCACGTTTTTGCTATCCGGCAGCTATCAGAGGGTGACTCATTTTGTAATAAACCAGATGTTTTGAATGTACACAAATATTTTGAACATTGTTTTTCCCCCATCATGGCCTATTTATTAAATTTGCTTAACACAGACTTGGAAAATTAGGTGCATCTGACGCACAACACTCTTTATTCTGGTTCTTATCACCGAACATAACTTCCTGTCAATAAAAATCAGTTATTATCAGCTAGAGTGAAAGCAATGAGACCTTAAATCAACATTTTGTGTGTGCTACAAATGAAATCAAACCACAGATCTGTAGAATGACTTCAAACTATCAACTCCAAGTGAAGTTCCTTTTCACAAAACACACTGTTCTGGTGAGCATCACCTGTGATTTGTAGATGTTTGTAAAACCACAACAGAATGTACATGCACTAAGTAATTCCTTACCCTTATAATTTTGTACTATACAATTACTGAATATTACCAAAAATCACAAGGAAAATTACATCTTCAGAAAATCTGATGTTGGATTCACTAGAATAGTTAACATAAATTTTCTGAATTTACCTTGTTTGTAAACATGAAAATGAAGAGCTTAAAAGGAAATTTGAATAATGAATCCTACATCTGTTTTTACAAATCTAATATAAATCTACATAAACAACTATTATAATAACCTCTGCAAATTCATACGATTGCAGACGTGAACAAGTCATTTAGGGCAATATTTTCGTGACTATATTTAAACATGAATTACACATGGGTTTGACAACTCTGTTCATAAGCTTTAAAACAATACCAAAATCAGCTGTCTATGTTTACCAGTGATGAGGATAAGGATGTCTGATAGTAAGGTGTGAGTCCAAAATGGGTCACCTTTGAACACCTCTGTTTTCTGAATGGTTAATCATTTGGATCCAGAAATAATAGTCCAATTATTCTCCCTTAGGCAAATATTTATGGATTTTTTTTATAAAAGCAAATGGGGAGATGTCAAAAACAGACATATTTATAGATTTCATATGGAATGACCCTGTAATCTTGTTGTCATATAACATACAATAAATGGCACTTATATTCTGAATTTACGTTTCAAATAATCATGGTCAGTGCAAAATCTGCTGGTATATTTTATAAAATTAACAATCCCTGGAACATTAATGTTTCAAGAATGTTACACATGCTTTTAAAGACTAGGGACTACTCCAACAGTAGGTTGCTTGTTTATATCAGGTTCTCCAGAATTTGGCAAACAATAACATTTTTAATTATTTCAGGTAAATTTATATATGACTGTCATTCTTGTTATGAAATACAAAATGACACAAATTACTCTAACAGTTCTGGATATATAATGTTTTATGTGTTTATAATATTCACATAACCACTGCAGAGCTTTAGAAGGATTAACACTGTCCATGTTTAGTACAGACTTGATAAAAAGCGTATCCTGTGTCTCTTATCTTATGTCACTAGAATTTTCAGTTTAATCAACTGCAAAGGCAAGACTGATCCCCAAAATCTTTTAATTTCTACATGTGACGCACAAATAAGAGTTACACAAGTTGAGCAATCCGAGTTTAAAATTAGGGATTTGTTTAATCAGCATCAGACTGTTTCATAAACTAATTGGCAATGTTTTCAGGTGAGCTTCTCAGGACTACTCGGTGGCACCATTTTGACTCCTACACATCTGATCAGGGATGTAATAATGATCATATCCTTCACCAAGTACGCTGCCCTGACTCATGTCTGTGTGGCTTTTAGTTTTATTATGACGCATAAAGACAAGTGTTTGTTTTTTACAGAAGGTAGGAAAGTTTCCAATTATGTTGTAATCCCAATTGGCTTTCAAGTGTTACCCAGTGCAGCAGGAAATACAAAACCCGATGTTCTGCAACTCATGTTGACAAGCAACCACCATTAATAAACAAAAATAAAATGCATAATCATTTTTACTAGCAAGACAGCTTGTCATCCCACTCCCTTCTAGTGGCAGATCTGTCCACTCCATTTGATATTCAGTTCCAACACTCCTATAATTTACCGTAAAACTAATTTCGTAATGAAGACCAGGAACTCTGTCCCAGATGAAAGAGAAACGCTCAATATGATCAATACAATAAAAAATGTGTTGAACCAACACAATGCAGTTTTCCAAACCAACATTCCTAATCTGAAGCCAACTGGAATCAATGTTCTGAAAATCAAAGGCTCCAGATGATTCAAACAGTACCAGGAGAAAAAAAGCATAACCCGTAACAGCAATGCAGTTTTCTTTTACAGGAGTTTTTTCTGGAGTAGAAGTGGAAGGCCAGCGATCCACAAATGAGATGAATTCGCATTTCTGAGGGTCCTGAGGGGGTTCTTGTGCAGTGTAGAGGGTTTTGAGATGGATAGTCCCCCAGATTTAAAATAAAAAATGAATACAAATTATATTTCTCTTTAAAAAAAGGAGCTCATACATGATTCTTGTATATATACATTGCAATACGGTGTATATATATACAGTATATATACGGTATTGCCATTGGTTAATTACATATCTATACCAAAGGGAAATAAAATTTTCTTGGCTATAGTGTAAACTGGACAGGTTTGCCATAGTATATTTCAGAAATATATATAGGAACAAGTAATAGGTTTATTCCAAGCTGAAAAAAGAAGAAAGAAAACACAACCTTCGGCTGTGGAGCCTTATTCAGAAATATATATATATACTATTTACTGCAGTAACATTCCCATGGAATGAATTTGGAGAGCAAAAATGTTAGTTTTCGATGCACTAAAATAACAATTAAAAGTCATTTATTAACTTTATGATTCATGCATTCTGCTGTGGTTTCCACAACTTTGCAGAGAAACTCCACAGAGGCTTTTTCAAAGATCATTCTGATAAAGCAGTTTGTTGCAGTTTGTTGCAGTCTGTTGCAGTCTGTTGCAGTGTTACACTGAAAAGGTCTTTTCAACCTTGAGTAAGCAGAAAGGGTCACACTTTCTGTGCAGTCCAAGCCAGGAGTTCTCAATCACATCCAAATTACACACCTGCAGTTTTTTCTTCCAGTCAACTCTCAGCTACACAATTGAACCCATCATAATAATAGGATTAATTTGAACTGTTTGAGTGTTTTCAGCTCTATAATATGTTTCAGATTTCCTTTTAACTACTGTATTTCATATGTAAAATAAAATTCCAAATATATGAGTTAAAAATAAATTTGCAAGCATTGCAACCAAGCAACTTGTTAGGTCAATTAAGACGTTAGGTAATTAAGCTTGGCTGGAAAACAAGCAGGTATGTGTGGTGCTTCAAGACCAGGACTGGGACTTTTTTTTCTTATTATAACTAGTTGTACTGATGA